GAGGGCCATACAAAATTATCAACTTAAAAATTAGCTGCTATATTTGGTCCAACATTTCATTAACTCACCCCTAATGCCTTGGCAGGGCCAGACCAAATGATTTCCTAGGTCTTCTATGGCTCACGGGCCGGACGTTCCCCACCCCTGGTTTAGAGTATCTTTTCCTGATGATTTTATCATCTTGTTCATTTTTCTTCAGTAAGATTCTACAGGCACTTAGAACTGAGGACTTAGAACCTGTCATTTTATCAAGACGGTTTATTTTTTCCATAAATATATTTGCTTCCCAGAACATTCATCTACCGCTTTTCCACTCAGTTGTGTGGCATTTTGAACTTTCTCTAGAGTTGTCATTGAGCTAGCGATTAATTACCTGAATGAATGATTGTTATTCAAGTGGAGATATTTCTGTACCCTCTTTCTTCCACACGAGTTATAAAAATGTGAAATAAAGTTAGTCTCTGTAATTTCTCATTTTATTTCCTCATCCACAGTAGGGCCCATTTAACTAAGTTGTTTTCATACAGGGTGGGGCAAAAGCAGATTTACAGTTGTTCGTATGCAAAATAATAGAATAATTAATAAATAATAATAATACAAGAATAAACTGTGTTTCACATAGGAACAACTGTAAACCTACTTTTGCCCTACCCTGTATTTGTCATTAAACATCCTCAAATACCACAGGGATTTCATTTTTAAAAATAATCTTCGCCATTGGAAACTTTAGGAATTTAAGTAGCGCATGCTAATGTCCCTCCATCTACTTGCCTATGTGCTTAGCTTCTCAGAGGTCTCCAAGTAGTCCTATAACCTGTATTTCTATTGCAGGTGGAGCTACTTGTAATTGTGGCTCAACTTTTATTTGCTTATTGTCTCTCAGTTTCCTCTCCATATAACATTGAAGGGGGTGATGTTAAAAATGGCTGTGCTTCACCGAGGCTCAGAGGAGGCGCAGTGTGGAAAATACTCAGGTGCGGAGGTGCGCGCGCAAAGCGGGCTGGTGGCTGAGAGCGCGGTTGTCGTTTTCGGTCAGGGGGAGTCTCAGACTCTGAGCTCCAGATACGGGCGAATCGCTGGGGACTCGGACCCAAACGAGAGAAGCGGGAGTGTCTGGCATCAGTTGGAAGGCAGCTTTCCCTCCGAGGTTTGCAGCGGTTCCTGGGGTTCTGAGAAGCAGAGCCTCTGGGAACAGGACTGAGGGCACCATAACGGCTCCCTCCGCCCGCCCTGTTGAGCCCGCCCCGCCCAAGCCCTGCGCAGAGCCATTTGCCGGATCGCCTCAGGCAAAGGCTAGATTAGCACCTCCCCAGAGGACAGAAGTTTTCCCACTGCAGCAGACACAGCTGATTCTCACAGCCAGTCGGCCTGG